ATCGAACTGTAGTTGTGTCTTTAGTCCCCCTTCAAGGTCGATTTTCTGGACCATTTTGTGATTTTTTTATTTACCTAATTTCACAAGGTCCTGAATTCCATTATAGCTACGCCCATTTGCCGAATAACAACCCCGCTATGAAACCTCACACTGTAAAACTTAACCATAAACTTAGGCAAAACCTGCTCCAGAAAGCCAATAAACTTTATCCCCCTCCTTCTACAAAGCTGTTGCTAGACCTGATAAAACTAACCTCGTAAGTCTTACCTCACTTGAACCATTATTGTGTATTTTTTTTTCTTTTTTTTTACGCCAGCCTAACTTCCGAACGCGGCGGAACCTGTTTACAAACTTCTCTGACTCATCTCCTAGAGTTTCTAAGCTTTTATTCTAAGGGCAAGTAAGGATATATCGGGAGAAAATGAATATAACCTACTTAAAGTACAAAACTAAACTCCGCGCAAAATGGTCCTTCATGAATAAACAGAATAAAACCGTTTTTATTTTCCATTCTTATTAAGTCTCTAAAAGGAAATCAGGTACTTGCTCGGCCATAGCATTTCGGACACCATTTCCACGAATCTCTCCGTCGGCACAAAAGGCGACGGTTCCGAAAGGGAAGCCGGACGCGACAGGACCGGCGTCCCCCGAATCTATCTCGGCGAAACCCAGGCTTCCCGCACTCGCCGGCGAGGGTTCCGAGAATACAGGTGACGTCACAAGCAGAGCGCGCATACCTGAGGCTTTTGTAAGGGCTTCGCGCTGCTCACAAGGTATGTTCATTAGTACCAGCGTGCCCTCTGTCCTTTGCCCGCCGGCTGAGCTGGGCACTATTTACTTCCTATTCTTTATCCGCTAATTGATATCATTACCCACTACCTGGAGTTCTAAAAGCAGCGTCACTATTTATCTGTGTGGAAAAAAATTCCCTTTGGCCACGCAAGGAGGGAGAACAACCGATACGTTCTGCTCTGGATCGCCACAACACAAAGTATTAGAGATCCGAGAAGAGAAAAAAATGCCGATTTTAAAATGTTTCGTAGCAGCCCATAGTTCCGAAGAAAGAAAACGGGTTGCCAAGATGAGGGAAAACGAGTTGCAAGACAATAAATGCGCGGTGGCGGGAGACCAAACAACAAAGAGGAGGAAAAGGAAGGAGGTAATGAGAGAACCGCTATCTCCTGACTCTGAGGAAACCCTTGGTGACGTCAGCGCTGAGAGAGAGAGAGAGAGAGAGAGAGAGAGAGAGAGAGAGAGAGAGAGAGAGAGAGAGAGAGAAGGAGAGAGGAAATGGCGAAGAAGAGAGAGAAAAAAAAAACGGCGAACGTAAGAGAACGGAAACTAAGGGAAAATAGCGATGGATAAAGGGAACGAGAACGGGGAAGAATGAAATGGGGAGATAAAAGGCCGGGAGAGGATGGGAAGGTCTGAGGATTAACCTTCTCCCTGCCGAGCGACCGATCTCCTCAACGTCATCGTGATGGACGCTTCACGAAAACTGCGTTTCAAGTGAGAAAATAACATTGAGGAACTATTTTCATATAAATATTACAGAAATATCGATACTGTAACGGATATTTTAAGACCCTAATAGGTGGATGAAGAGAAAGTTGATTATGTCATACTTATTTTAAAATATCAATAAATGTAGTTAAATATCCCAAATGACATATTTCATATGGAATTTAATAGACGCCACGCTGAAAAAAATATATATATATAAAGAACAAAGCTCCATAAAAGGACATTTTCGCCGCTAAAATGATGACCATCATTTTGCTAAAGAATGAGCATCCTCAACTTGACAATTTATCCTGTTGCAATGTGCACCCGCCTGCAATGAACACGACAGTGGCTTAGGTTAAACGGCCGAGCGCTCCAAAAATACAGTATCATAGTTTTTATGACGCGGTTCTCGAAACATGCTTTTTGGTACTAAGAGACTCATAGTATTTTGCACAAGGTCTTTTCTATTTCTTTTATAAGGAAAGGGACCAATCTGGACATGTTATTGGTGGTTATATTTGCGTGGTTTCAACTTTGAATATAATAGTGTCTCTTCCTATCTTCATACACGCGCGCGTGTGTGTGTGTGTGTGCGTGTGTGTGTGCGAGCGTGTGGGTGCACGTGCGTGCGTCTGTGTGTATTTGAATCCATGTATACATACTATATACATACTGGATGCACCAGAGAGAAAAGAGAGAAAGAGCGAGATTTGCTTCTTCCTTCGCTCGTTTTCAAATGCATGCACGTGGACAACCCCGAAGGTCGTGTCCAGACTTCGGAAGCAAGAACTCAGTCAAGGCTCTCTCAGGTATTCCGCAGGTGCTTTTCCCCCCAAGGTTCTTCGTCCCGTTCCTCGGCCACGTGAACGACTTCCTGTAAAAGTGGACTTGTAAACCGCGACTCTCTTGCATATCCTCCTGGCAGATTTTCCGAAGCTTTTTAGGCAATTGATTGTTTCCGTGTTTCCAGGTAAAGGAGTTCACGTTTATTCGCGTGTCGAAACACCTATGACTGTTTCTTTGGAAATTTCCTTTTCTCCGGATGGCATAAAGATGCACTGTCGGTGTTTGTAGCGCATTGTATTCTTAAACAGAAGATACTTTGGCAGCGAGAGTGAAACCATCCTCGGCGGTGAGACAAAGGGACATTATTCCTGGAAGACATAATCTCGGAACGTCAGAAAAAAAGGCACATCCGCCTCAGACAACCGAACCTTAATTACCACGCCAAGAATTGATTTTAAAACAAAGAAATAATACTTCAAGACGGAAAAGAACACACACAAAAAAAACGCCACCTCACACCCGCAAAGAAAAAAAAAACTAAAAAAAAAAAAAATAAAAAAAAACGAAGATAAACAAACCCAAAGACACCACGAAGGTCACACACGCGCGGATGGAAAGGTAAAGAACTCCCTGGAAAGCCTATGGTTGCGTTCTCGATTGTAAAAGGAAATGCCTCTCTTCGCTGTGAGTCACGTGCAAAACGCCGCTCCGTCTTTGGTGGTTAATTAAAGGCTAATCAAACAGCTGACTCATTGGTGTATAGAGAGTCGAAGTGGAGGAAGGAGAGACCTATAAAAAAGAGAGGAATAAGGAGGAGGTGAAGAGGGTGAGGAAGTATGGGAAGGGAAGGGAGTGGGAGGAAAGAGAGGGCTGGAAGAAGGGAGGAAAGAGAGGGCTGGAAGAAGGGAAGAAGAAAAGAGAGAGAAGGAGGAGGGTGAGGAAAGATGAGAAGGGAAGGAGGTAGGGAGAAAAAAGAGGGCTAGAAGAAGGAAAGAATGAAAGTAAATAAAGAAAGAGAGAAAGGTAAGAAGGGTAGAAAGAGAGAGAAGTAAGAAGATGAGGAAAGGGAAGGGGAGAAAGGAGGGTGAGGGAGAGGTAGAAGGGACAAGTTGACAGAGCGCTGAGAATGGGAAATCAACATTAAACAAGGGACATGGAAAAGACTGACGGTATGGGCTGTTGCCAGGGGCGGGAGGAGACCTGAGGAGGGGTAAAAATCACAGTATTATCCGTGATAACAGTCGTTGTCTTGCTGTTATCATTATCATTATTATCATTGTGCAGAATTATCATGATTATCATTACTGTATTATTGTTATTATCATCGTCAGTTTTTATTTTTATAATTATATTTCAAAAATATACATTTCCATTTATTTCCATAATGACCGAAGTAATATTATCATACATTAGTTTTGTAATTATGATTTTACCACTATTATCATTATTCCCTTTATCTCCATTAATAGTATTATCAGTATCATCCCCAATATTATCATTATCGTTATTAGTGAACTGCTATGCGTACTACTATAACAATATCCCTTTATATATTATTAATCTATTATTAGTGTGGCCATGATCCTTAATTCTATGTACGTACACTAAAAGCAACATGGTTTATTATTATCATGAATTATTAAATGTGTCTACCTTTATTGCTGTATTCAAAATATTTCTTATTAACACTACATACTTATTAGATCGATATTAAAATATAGAATATCCAAGGGTATTATGTACTTTTCTAGCAATTTTTCACCGTGCTTCACTTCATTTCCTTCCGTTTATCTACACTATATTTCAGTCAAGCTGTTTTAAACATTGGTGATGTCAGTTGTCGTTTGATTCACCCAAAACTAAGCGAAAATAGTGGATTTTCTCCCCAAAATCTTCTTAGGCAAAAGCGAGGAGTCTGAGCGTGGCTTTTATCACATAAGTGGTTCTGCTAATCGGCTAAGCAAATGTGACTAACTTGCATTTTAGTTTAAATTACATTTGAATTTCGTATGCTCTTTGGAAATGACTGGAAGTTATTCTCGTAGACACCTGCAAGCATAATACAAGAGTCGCGTGTGTACTTCGTGTAGTAAGACCCTCCCTGTGAATGGCCGAAGCTTCGCATTCTGGCCGACAGATGGTGCTCGCTATAACTGTTACCAACTCGAGAGCGCATAATTATTTGCTTAATAATATTTATTTGGGTTTATTTCTGGGTGTTGTGTTTAGGAGAATGTATATTTAGAGTCTGCATTTAGTTAGGGATTGGTTGTAAACAAATGGTTTTTTAGTCCTGTTGGGCGAATGGTTTAAACTTTTGCATACGTATAGTTTGAGTCTGATGTCAATGTGCACGCTACACGCGGTTATTTGTAACTGTGTTGCTTACTGTGCTGTACATCGTTAGAGTATATATGTTAACTAAATCAGTGTTACGTGATAATGATTATCTCCCGATGGTTCAAATGAATGCTTGGCGGTAGGTCAGGTTGGACATAGATGTGAATGCACAAATTTGTCAGCGCCTCAGGTTCGTGATTGGAGTGTTGCTTATCAGACACTAGTAGATATTCTAACAAAGACCGAATACGAAAAAGTATATATATCATTTGCAAAATACAAAAAAATGAATGTTAACGAATAAAACGCTACGCGGCAACTCGACGAGAGCAGCCTCCCAAACATTGTCTTTGTCGGCAGTCGTGTCTTGGTTGTGAGCGGATGAGGACTGTACGTGCGTCCTCCGTGGCTGATCAATGTTAGTGCCTCGCTTCTATTACACTTTTGAAGATGTTTCCACCAGTTGTCATGTGTTTTTGTTAGTGTTTTAACTGTTTGTGGATGTTACTTACCGAATGTACTTTTTTGCAAATAGTTTGATAAATTTATTCAACTTCTGAACTTTTGGCGTTCATTTTTTTTTTGTTTCCCATGGACATTTACAGTGTGAGATCCTCCGTATTCGATTGACTCTTTTAAGTACCAGTGCTTATTAACGCTACTAAGTGTTAATACTCTAACATCCCCCCAAAAAAAATCAAACACAAGCGGCTTTCGAACAAGACCCACGAGTAACACGGGGGGGAAATCTGCATGCAAGGCCGGGGATAACAGAAACACACGACCTGACAAACCGTATGTGTGTACGTTTCAGGGGGGAGCGTTCATGGGGAGTTTACATACACGGTTTTGTAAAGCTTTTGGCGAGTGCGTGTAACAGCGAAGATTAACGAAAGAGAGAAAGAGACAGAGAGAGAAGTGCGTTTGTGACCTTCGTTTTCGCTGTGTGTGCCTTCGGGCGTGGGTGGACTTCACACGTGACGCCTATGGACCATGATGTTTGTAAAAATGTAACGATACGTAAACAAATACAAAAGAAAAGAATAGATTTATAAAAAAAAAATATATATATATATGTGTACGACCGTTCCTACTTGTCATGAGTGTGCCATAACCCGAGATAAATCTACTTAGTATAACCCACCCGTGCAAACAATAATTATAAAAAGAAAAACACACACACCTATCTAAGTGCTCATAATACCTTGTTTGAAAAGAAGTTACCACAAATCCACGCCCTTACCGCTGCGTATCTCTCGAGCTGCTGTGACCATCCATTACTTGTCCTGACTCCGGCCGCCCACAGGCTTGGTTCCCCGGGTACTGTCTGGTGTCCGCTCGGGGTGTCTCGGAAGACAAAACACTTGGGTTTGGGAAATGTGCAAAGGACGTTTAATTTGTTGGTGGAGTTGGCTCGGGGATTAAGCTCTGATTCTGTGTTGGTTGTAGCCTTTATGTTCTTCTGGCACTGTTTCCTGATGTTGTTATCATCGTTGTTGTTTTTACTGTAATTATTATTATCATTATCATTATTACTGTTATTATTGTTATTATTATTATTGTTGTTATAACTTATCAGTTATTATTGCTATTATAAACTCTATTATTATTATTTTATTATTGTTATAATTATTGTTATTATAAACTCTATTATTATTATTTTATTATTGTTATAATTATTGTTATTATTGGTAGCATTAATACTATTATTATTATTACTACTACTATTATTATTATTATTACTACTACTACTATTATTATTATTATTATTATTATTATTATTATTATTACTATTATTATTATTATTATTATTATTATTATTACTATTATTATTATTATTATTATTATTATTATTGTTATTATTATTGTTATTATTATTATTATTATTATTATTATTATTGTTATTATTATTATTATTATTATTATTATTATTATTAATTATCATTATTATTATTATTATTATTATTATTATTAAGTTATTATTATTATTATTATTGTTGTTATTATTATTATTTTTTATTATTATTATTATTATTATTATTATTATTATTATTACTATTACTTTTAGTATCACCATCACACTTATTAGCATCGTCAGTCTAACGTATTTTAACTTTATTTGTATCGCAACATTGATGAACATGGCATATTAATTGTGATATTAATGATACTAATTATAATAATAAAAATAGTGGTAATGATACTAAATGATAATGAAATTAATAGTGATAATAAAAATAATGATAATAATAATAATAATGATAATGATATTGAGCGATGATGATAATGACAGTAATAATGATAATGGTGATAACCATAACAGTGACAGTAACAATAACTAATGACAAAATGGATAATGATTTTGGCAATAATACTAATAATAACTATAATAATGACAAGGATAATAATAATGATGAAAATAATAATGGTAATAATAACGGTAATGACAATGATATTGATAGTGATAATAAAATAAATGAGAATAATAAAAAAAAATAATGAAGGTAAAGATAATAAAAATAATTAGAAGAATAATCATCATTATTTTTCTTATGATTATTGTCATATTTTTTTAGTAATGTTGTCATTGTTATTAATATTATAATTATTGTTATTATCAGTAGTGATAGTAGTATCATTATTATTAATATTACTATTACTATTATTATTATTATTATTATCATTATTATTATTATTATTTTATTTATGTTTGTGATGGTGATGATGATTACTGCTACTAACATTACTGCTATTGCTATTAGTTTTGTTAATATTATTACTGCCATTTCCAACACCAGCGCTATATTCTTTTTGTATGTGCGTCTGTGTGTGTGCGTGAGTCTGCGTAATAGATAGTTGAAATGAAGACAGTCAGCGCATTCAAAAGCTGCTCTCACCTCTCGAAACGTAAACCCACAGGCGTTGCTGCTGATACTGGGGAAGAGAGTCGTCTTGTTTGTTTTGTTTTGTTGTTTAACTTCTGCCGTACGTGAGGTGTTACGTGGGCCTGTCCCGACTCGCGCCCATTCTGTCCTCGCGTGGGGCATGCGATCTCGTTGTGCGAATAATGAAGAGGGACAAATCCGGTTTAGCGAGAGCGTGGGCGGGTAAGAATACTGGGACGTGGGCGCTCTGGGATCGTGGCTTGGTGGAGACGGACGGACGGAAGATGACTGACGGGTATTAATTGCAGCGGGAAATTGCGCTCGGATTCTGCAACTTGACCTGAGATACGCAAGATTGCTGCTTGCCCGAGGGGGTAATCATGTCTTGGCCTGGGGGTACGAGGAAGTGGGGGTGGGAGGGGGGGTGTTCCCTCAAGGATGTTCACCCTGGAGAGGAAGAAAGGAGCGAATGTAATATTTGTCTTGCCGAACTGGTTCTCTTTGTGCGTGCGTGCGTGTATGTGTGTGTGTGTGTGTGTGTGTGTGTGTGTGTGTGTGTGTGTGTGTGTGTGTGTGTGTGTGTGTGTGTGTGTGTGTGTGTGTGCCCCTTTCATTGAACGACTACACCTGGATGACGCTTACCCCACATCCCGTAGTCCCCCAGCGCCCCGTACATGATGGCTGGACAGGGTAATGATCCTAGCGTGTGTATGGCTGGTATTCGTTGCCCTTGCGTGTTTGTAGTAACTCGCGACGCACAGCGACCTGCGTCTAAGTATCGTGTATTTCGTTGAACCGATCGACCAGGTTTGCCCAGAGGAATATAGGTCGTATTCGCTGTACTGTGCAACTCGTTTTCGACATTTTTTAAATACTTTTCTTTTTATACAACGTTCATTTTGCTTGTTAGGTATTTTTAAAATTTGCTTATGTCGAATTCTTGGTATTTTTTATGTGCTTGTTTTGAAATCTTGTTTTTTTTCTCTCTGAAGATGTAGTCCAAGAAGCAAGAAATTGTTATGGTTCCAAGTAAGACTTTTTCGCGTTCCAGTTTGTCAGTGAAAGGCCAGGGAAGGTTTCAGGGCACGCGTCAAGGAGCGGAAGTTATCGGTAATTTGACCCTTAAGTTTCCAGCTGGTCGATACTTGTACACCTGGCTGGGGCGGGGGTAGGTAGGGAGGTGAGGGGAGGGGGGGTTGTTGGGGATTATAGGGTGTGGGGGGGGGTTGGAGTGCTCGGAGTGGTGGGAGGATAAGCGGGGGGAGAGAGAGTAAGATAGGGAGGGAAGGGAGGGGAGGGGGTTGCGTTGGGTTGGGAAAGGAATGGTATTGGTTCGGACATTTCAGCTGAATAATAAAATACGTCTTGAGTTATTGCTGAGGTGGAGGGTCTCGCTTTGTGTGTGTGTGTGTGTTAGAGGTCGGTTACCCCGTTCGCTTCACACTCAGTTCAGCTTTGTTCTGCGGGTTCAGCGTGTACTAAACGTGAGGAAGGATTGCCGTTTCGCAGCACACCTACTAATTTACGGGTTATTGATCTTGCTCATTAATGTGTGTGTGTGCGTGTGTGTGTGTGTGTGTGTATGTGTGTGTGTGTGTGTGTGTGTGTGTGTGTGTGTGTGTGTGTGTGTGTGTGTATGTATGTGTGTGTGTGTGTCTGCGTGTCTGGCATTTGTTTATATATATGCGCGTGTGTGTATTTGTGTGTACATATATGCACTGTGTGCCTGCGTGCCCTCCCTGCCTCCCATTTGTGATGTATTTTCGAGTCTTTAAACCCACCTGGAGACGAGGCTCGTCCACTTGCAGGTGTCTTCACCTTGGCCGATGACGTCAGTAGTTGTTATGCAGTCCTGGCGTTGCCTCACGCCCTCCTCGCTCGCCACGTCCATGCAGCAGCCCGCCACTCCTCCGCCGAGACAGGAGCTAAGCAGGAATTTAATTAAAGCGTAGAATTACATGCAAATATTTACGTAAATCCGCTAGCAGTCTGTTACACAGCAGAGCCCCGACACTCGATAATGCCACGAGGGCTTTCGGAAAGAAAGGGTCGTCGGGTGGGCGTGCTGGACGAGTCCGTGGGCTGTGTATGTGGTAGGTGAGCGTGGATATGGGTAAGAAGAGCTTTATAGTGTAAAACGTGCAGTTGACGCGTTTTGTGTAATTCTGACAATGATTTCATCGAGACGCGACAATTAAACCTCTTGCGCTGTGAAGTTATTCTCATTCAACATTTGCCTCTGTGAAGTCTGTCGGTCAGCTTAAGGTTTTTGGACAGGTAGTATGCGCGTGAGGTTGATTAGGACACCTTAGTGAAGCAGGTCGTCACGCTTGCTTGACTAGAACCATAGGCCTTACGTCATTGTAAAAGGGTGTGTAAGCCTACCGTGGATGATTGTAGTCTCGTTTTATAGGCTGCGTCAGTTTGGTTATTGTTTTTTTTTATGAAACAGTATTATCAGGTAATAAAATAATAAGTTGATGTAGTGAATGAAAGTCGTTTGAATCGAGATCTCTCCAACAGTCTTCAGAGGCGTGACTCGATTTTTTTTTCTTTCCGAGATTCACTTATCTTTAATTTATTTTCCCGACCG